TAAAATAGACTTTCGTTCTTATCAAGATTTTCTTTTCTAAATCACATGGGAAGGTTAAGATTTTAGCACAACTTTATGAAATTGGTATTTCGTCATTTAAATTTTAAATGAAATTGCTTACCTCGTTTATTTGTACATTAATATTTTAAAACTTTATTCAAACATTTTTTTAAAACTATTTAAAATATAAAGAAAATTTGTACTTACTATTATATAGTTTGCCAATACAATTATTTAGTAGCGCCATCTTTTTTACAAGTAAGCTTTCTATAGAATGGGATGCAGCCATCTATGTCTCTGAACTTAATGTGGCTACAATATTTAAAACTCCAATTGAAATTAAATTTTCCTTGGCTTAGTTGGCTTCCGCCCTAAAAAATAAATAAATACGATTTTCCACCTCTTTAAATATTTGTAAATTGAACAATCCATCATTTTCAGAGTTTGCTTAGTCCGTTATCAATGAGCAAATACAAATTAACTAACAAATTGAACCACACACAAATTTCAGTCGGATGCAGCTGGTCACGAACTGCACTTTTTTCCCACATACATAGATATAAACATAAATGTGCGTTCGGATTTTATCATTTATTTACATAAAATAAGCGACCGCAAGGTTTAATTAACCGCAAAAGTGGCAGGCAAAAAGTAAAAAAAAAACATTATGGAGAGAAGGAAAAGAAAAAGAGAAATACAAAAAATGAGATATGTGAAATAATGCAAAAAGTAAACATGAAGAAAAAGAACCAGCGTAGTATAAATATATGTGGAAATAGATATGCGGACGGCGTGTATTGGCATTAAGCGGAGTAATAAGGTAAATATGTGTTCAGCTCCGAACTCACACAGATACCCACCCATACAGACAGGCGCAATGGAATGTAAGTCCAGGCAAATAAACATATTTATCTGTATGACAACTCGCTGAAGTGACCCTGCCCAACAAAAGTAAACTAAAGTAAAGACAACTGTTCCCGGGTGTATCGAATCGGATTGAAGGAATTACTTTTCAGAAATGAGGGATCGGATCGGCCCTGCAATACCCTTTTTAAGTTTTTATTTTATTTAAAATAAATTTATTTTACAATTAACACTTAGTTGAATAAATTGCTAGATATGGTAGGAATATCTGGCGATTTATTAATATATTGCAGAATATTAAACAATTTCACAGCATACTTTGAGGAAACTTTTAAATTATTTTTAATGTATTAAATATTTTTGTGTTTTAATTATTATTTTAAATTTGAAAAACACAAAATTTAACATTTTTAGTCTTTTGATTACCTATGAAAGAAATAATCATGTAATCCAAATTTTAAAGATCGAAGCGGAATAAAGTCTGCTTGTTATAAAATTACCTTTTTGTTAAAATGTAAATACATGCATCTGCAATTTATCTAATCAACTAAGAAACTTATCTAGGACTTTTGTTAAAAATGAAACTCTCCGTTTTGGGTCTTTATTAATCAAATTTTTTAGTTAGAGTTAATGAACTAAGCAATTTTAGATTTTATCAATTAGAAAAACAACTTTAATGAACTTCTGTTTAAAATGAAACTCCCCGTTGTTTCGTTAAAGGGCAGGCCACGTAATTATATGGAGCGCCTGGCACCCAACGGACATTGACCGCTCCCTGAGTCAGTGCCGCTCCCCCTCCTTTGCCCCTCCCCTCTCACGTCCACCTCCCCCTCAGCGGATCACTCTACCATGTTTTCCCTTATCAGTGGACAAGAAGAACGCAGCGTGAGTGCCGCCTGTCACTTGGGGCAAACATATGTTTCGTTACAAATTGACGACCGCAACGCTCTTATCAGCAAACGGCTGTTGATGCCAACAAAAACAACCGCAGCAACAGCAAAAAGAAGGGAGTTACAGAGGGGGGGGAAAGAAGGGCAAGGCAACCGCTGGACAACAAAAGACAACAAACGAAAATTAACGAAAACTAAATTTAAACACGTCTTGTTGCGGTCCACCCAACGGAGAGATGTGTTTCATTAGCTGCAGCTGCATCTCACCCCTCTCTTTCGCCCCTCGCTCGCTATCCCTTTCTGCGGGTGTCCACCTGCACGCAGAAAAAAAAATGTCTTAATGTTTTATATTTAATTAGTCCCCCTTTATGAAATTTTAAACATCCAAAAAAGCTATAACTTAAAATATATAAAAACTTTTTACTTGATAGTCCTTTTGCTAAGGACTTTTTATTTTATTTTCAAACGTTGTTCTATTTATTATTTTAAAACAATTTTGAAATCTCAAAAAAAAAAGGTTTAACAAAAAATGAATACTTAATATTTCAACACAAATATTTTACATTATTATATAGTGACAAAACTATTATTAAATTTGTAGGTATTATTATATTGTTAATATTGTTAATCAATGTGCACCTAAACATGTAACTTTGAACAGTAAATATAAAAATGCGGGGCGTGAAATGTGAATAAATAAATAAACTTCTCTAGTTTTAGTCCAGCGAATTAATGGTAATTAATTATAAATTTAATCTAAAAACTTAAAAGAATTTACCGAATTATTATTTTCAGTATATTTCTGCGGTTAGCAATGCGATTGTGTGGGGGAAATGGGGAAATGGGGTCTGAAAGAGGAAAGCATGTGCTAAGACCTATTAAGGGGTTAAGGGTTGTCCGGTGGCAACCGCTGACTTTTTGCTCGCAGCGGGCGGTCACGGTAAATAAGGTTCACTACCGGACCCCATGTGGATCTGTCAGTGCCTAATCCGCAACTGAAAGCAGGAAAAGGGATGTGTATGACAGGAAACCGTATGATATAATTGTTACTATCAAAAACAGATAATTAACAGGGTTAATTTTGATACACAACAGTAGAATGGATTAGAAACCTTTAAGTTATTGTGACAAAATTATATAAATGGTTTATTTAAATTCTTAACATCGAAATGTAAATATATCATAAAACTATTATGCTTATAATTTATTTTTGTTAATAAATAAGGTATGGTTTTTGACTTTAACAATTAAATTTTAAACAGAACTGTAACTGATTACAATGTTTTTTATATAAATATGTTTTTTATCTATCTATCTGATAAATAAAAAATTCTGTAGGTATATATAAATAGGAAAACCTTTCGCCCTTTCATTTTGGTATTCATATTTCGTACATATTTAATTTAATTATATGAACAAAGGCTCTTTTTATAGTTTCTACCATACCAAACATTCTTAATATATGCTCTTTCGCCTCCTTTAAACACTCCAAAGTTGCCCTCGTGCCACGGAAGTTAAATATATACAGAAAGGGCAGGAAAATATTAAATCCGACCGCCCCAATCCACCTTCCCCCCTTCGATTCCGTTCGATTCGCTGCGGTGTGAACAGGCAATGGCAAACAGGCAAATAAACAAACAATCGACGGCGTCCCTTCGTCCTTTCGTCCTTTCGTCGATTGGCTTTTGGCCAGGCTTTTGCTTTTGCCGAGGTGCTTATGCATATAGGCCGGCATGTGTGTATGTGTATGTTTGGGCTCCGTGGGGGTTGCTTGCCAACTGGCTTATTCACGTACTGTGTTGGCCCTGCTTTGCTGACCACTACTATACTGACCTGGCCCAGGAAACAATTAGCTCTAAATAAAATTTCAAAATAAGCAACTGTTTGCGCTTCCACCATTGCCGACGAACACGCCACTTTAAGCGGAATGGGAACTCATATTAGATAGCATGATATCACTTAATTACGGTATTTAAATGAGCAACAAATGATATGCTTTTGGGCTTTTAGAACCCATCGAAAAACCTCAAATGCACATAGATATACACGAACGGCGCTTTTAAATCGGCATTTTCCCAAAATTTATGTCTATATATTTAGATATCCGCATTTAATTTTTATTTTGTACCAAAAACGTGCTCGGCAAACTATGCAACACTTTGGGGGTCGTAATCATCTTTTAGCCAACTTCATTACCATGGCATTTCGAACTAACCGTGTGCGAGTGTGTTTGAAATGTAATTGAAATTTAGTTGGCAAAACTAATTGGAATTGCTGCATTATGCAAGCGGCGATAAAGCTCCAAACAGAGAGGCCTCCAATTGGGTAGCAGAAAATCAATAGAAACAAGAAAGGAAGCAAACTTCTGCAAGCCGAAGTGCATATACCCTTGCAGCTATTGCAAAAACTAAATATTCTTGAAAATATTAAAATTATGATTTACTTGCGGGTATTCAAGCTATGATGATTTGAAGGTCAATTATTCGATAGTTCCTATGACAGCTATGAGACATCGTTTTCCAATTTAAAAAAAAATTAAATAGCGTAATTCGGAACTGTCAAATTTTTAAAAAGTCTAAAAGAATTTAAAAAAAAACAAAATAGAAGTTACATTTAAAAAAAAAAAAATTTTGTATATGTTTCCATGGGAGCTATATGATAAAGTCGTCCGATTTTGATGAAATTTAAACCGTAATTCTGAAAAATGTAACCATTACTATATGTAGAAGAACTAAAAAAAAATTAAAAAGCAGAAAATGTATAATTTTTTTTTATTTATTTTTCCGATTGTTCCAATGGGAGCTATATGGCTCGTTCCGAAATTGTGATACCCTCTGCAAGGGTAGAAAAATGCTAGCATTTGCTGTATTTTTATTTATTTTATTTTACTATATACTTATTTTAAGTTACTACTCTGAAAAATAGTAAACCGCCAAAAAGATAATATTTAGTTAGCAAAAATATATCATCAATAACAAAATATACAGAGCACGTGCTTAGCATATGGTTTCTAATGCTTTGGTTTGTCGTAACAAAACGGTGCAAAACGGCTTTTTCTTATGAAGCTAAAGCATCGTTTTCAACATGCAAAATCGTCTTTTAATGTGTTTTCACCTAGTTTCTGCTAGCTTTTGTATGAATCCTGCCGTTTTAAAACGTCCGGAAACGGAAATTGTCCTTTACTTTAAAATTGAGGCTAATCGCCTTAGCCCTTTTTTTACCCTCCAAATAAATACCAACCCAACGTTTTGTTCTTCACAATCATAATGTATATTAAATATACTAAGATTGAGATTAAGATTAAGATTAATCACGATTTAGAGAAACGACATCTGGTCGATTTGTGGACTTGCTTGGGTGTCGCTTTATGTCCTCCGCGACGACAGTGCGACCTGCCTAAGGCGAACGCGATCCGGGGCGGGTGCGCGAACGGTAGCGGCGATTGTAGCGCGATCCTGACGGGGATTGCGAGCGAGAGGAGCGGGATCGGGATCGGGAGCGGGAGCGGAGGAAGGACCGCGAGCGGGAGCGGGAGCGGGAGCGGGACATTGAGCGGAACTGGTAGTAAGAGCGGGAGCGAGAGCGAGAGCGGGACGGCGAACCGGGACGCTGGCGCTGGCGGCGGTTGTTGACCGGCGAGTAGCGGCGATAGTGGCGCCACGGATCCTTCAGCATGGTCTCCCGGAAGGCGGACACCGTGATCCGCTTGCCGTCGATCTGGCCGCCATTCATGTGCTTGATGGCGCAGGCGCAGTCCTCGGGACGGGCGTATTCGACGAAGGCGTAGCCACGCCCCAAGCGTCCACGGAAGCGGTCCATGGGAAAGTCGACGGCCGTGAGGGGTCCGAAATGGCCGAAGATCTCGGTGATGTGTTCCTTTCTCACCTGGCGGGTCAGTCCCTTGATGTGGAGGCGCACCATGCGTACGGGTTGGCTAAATTTGATGGCCTGCTTGCCATTGCGATAGGCCGTTTGGTTGCCCTCGGCATCGGGATGGTCATGGGGTCCACCTCCTCTTGGTCCTCCTCTATCTCCGCGTCTATCTCCGCCTCTATCTCCGCCTCTATCTCCGCCTCTATCTCCGCCTCTATCTCCGCCTCTTTCTCCTCCTCCCCTTTCGGATCCTCCTCCTGATCCTTCTCCTCCGGATCCTCCTCTTTCTTCATAAACATCATTGCGCCTCTGCTTGCACTGGTTCTCTGATAAAAAAAATAAAAAATATGGTGTGTTGCAAATAATCATCTATCTATTTAATCTAAAATTGCATATTTCATATTTAAATGAAATTTCACAATATTAAATGCAACGTAATTTAAAATGATTGGTTTAATATTAAAACTATAAAATTAATGTAAAAAACTTTAAAAATCATATTTAATTTAAATATAAAATGGGACCTATTTGATTTTGATTCATTTTTTTTTTTAGATATTCCGCTTAAATATTCTGAAAAGTGGATGAAAATCAAAAGGAAAAGTATTTAAATTTAGTATGGACTTTCTAATTTCTTTGCTTTTACCGGGGTAAACTTATACAAAAAATGGAATAGTAAAAATAAATATGTGGCTTTTGAATTCAAAATTTTACATTAAATATTATAGTTAAATATTTTAACATAATATTTTGTTAAAGGCATATTAAATTGCATGATTAAATATTAAACTATTTAAATTAATGTAATAAATATAAGCTTTAAAATGTTTTCTTTTTATTTTAAATATATATATATATATGTGGCTATTGAAAAATGTTACATTAAATATTTAAATTAAATAGTTAATCACTATATTAAGTTCAATAACATTAAATTGCACAAATAAATGAACAAAATAATAGATTTAAAATGGTTCATATTTTTTTAAAATGCATATTATTTAAGTTGAACCTGGTCTAAACTTTAATTCAATTATCAGATATTAAAATCAGTTCCAAAATCAATTTCAAAAATATTTAAATTGAATAACAAAATGTCTTACCAGTGTGGTCATTGTTCCGCCCACTCCCCCACTGACGCCTTGAGCCCGGACCGGGGGGCGTGGCAGAACCGCGACGCGGTCGCTTAGCGTTGGATGCACTCGTCTTGGAGTTGGAGGAGTTGGAGGAGTCCTTTGTCATCGGTGACTTGCCATTGGAGTCCGCATGGCTGGCACTCGAATTGGGTTGACTGGTCTTTGCCGAAGCCTTCGCAGTGGAACCACTGGCCACTGGTTTCCTGACCTGGTTGGTCGACTTGCTGGCCATGGGATTGGCACTGGAAATTGGCACCTCTTTCGAGCCGCTGGATCTGGCCTTGGGCAGGGCACCCACAGTGGCCGCCGCACAGATGGAGCCGTCCTTGGCCTGGCTCTTGGTGATGGTGATGGTCTTGGCCGGGATTTGGGCTTGCGCTTGGGCTTGCGCTTGGGCTTGCGCTTGGGCTGGGGCACGAGAGCCGGAGCAGCGCATGCGTGACTTGCGCTGGTGGTGCTGCTGCTCCCTGGCCAACGGAGCAGCGGGAGCAGGGGCTGGAGCTGCAGCAGGGGCTGGAGCGGGAGCAGGAGCCGGCACGGGCTGCGGCTGGATGGTGAGCTCGGCCGGAATGGGCAACGGCACGGGCTTTGGAATGGGGGCCGGGATCTGGATGGCCACCGGTTGGCTGCCGGAGGTGGAGGTTATTTCCTTATTGACCACCACTGCCGTCTTGGTGGCGGAGGCGGCTCCTCGGCGACTGACCCTCCCAGACAGACGCTTCGATGAGCGTCCATGGTCGGAGCGATGGCGGCGGTGACCGGATGGGCGCCCATGGCGGCGATGGGAGTGATGGCGCGGCGGCGAGTGATGGTGATGGTGCCGCCGGTGGCGTCGATGGTGTCGGTGGTGGCAGCACGAGTGCTTCGCCCTCTTGGCGGCGGCGGCTGCTCCCTCCGGCTCCTCCTCGGAGTCGGCGCTGATCGAGACGGAGCTGGAGGAGTCGCTGGAGCTGGTGTAGCTGGAGGATCTGGAGGTTTCCGAGGAGCTGTAGCTCGAGTAAGAAGCGCTGGTATCGCTGCCGTCCCCATCGCTGCTCTCAGAGGCATTCGGTGGCTTAAGCGATCTGTTCCTCACGCTGGGGGCACCTCCTCCTTCTCGTCCTCCTCCTCCTCCTCCTCCTCCTTCTCCCCCTCCTCCTCCTCCTCGTCCTCCGCCGGAGTAGGACTCCTTGCGTCGCTTGTGCTCACGACGGCGTTTGGGCATCGCAATCTTGAAGCCTTCTCACTTGCACTGCGAAAAATGTACACTTGGCTTTTCGAACGATTTTTTTTTTTAATCTTGGTTTTGCGGGGCTGCTTCGACGTTTCTCACACTGCTGCCAAATGAATGGGTATGCTGACAACTGTCATGCTGAAAAATGGTAGATGAGCAAAGGCAAAGGCAAAGGAAAAGGAAAAGGCTACTCGATTGGAGATGCCCTGATTGCTTGTCTAGTTCTGGGTTGCCAACATATTACCAGTATGCTGCATACAAGCCCAACTTTTAGTAAGATTGGCAGTTGAAAACCATTGCAATAAAAGTAAAAAGGCAACTTTAAAATATCTTGTAGCAATTCATTAGGAATTATTTTGGATGTGCAAATACCCTGAGGGTTCCCATTTCAATAATTAATGTGGGAATTTATTGAAGTTTTGAATTACTGCCAAATTTTAAATCTACTTAAGTTATATTGAAACGGCTTTAATCAATAAAGACGTATCGCTTCTGACTTTGGTCTGGTTCCAGGGCTCGAACCTTAATAAACGTTCCCGTTCTGGATTACAAAACATTTAACATTTTCAATACTGTTCATACGACATATATTTGTACATTGTACACACATATGTATTATAAATTATATACTGATTTATTTCTTAGCAAAAAGAGAGCTAATATTCTTTTTATCTGTTTTCGGGACAGTTTAATTCTTCTAATATCAGTTGAGTTCTTTCTATATAATTACAAAGTTCCATCCAACTGAAAATTGTTTATCGATTTTAAATTTGTAAATAAAATTAAATAAGTTTGTCTAATTCTTTTAAGGAATAATTCAACTTCTGACTGAAATTTAAATACCCTCTGCAAGGGTATAAAAACGAGAACTACAATTGATTTAAATGGTCTTTTATTCATTTACAAAAATCACCAGAAATTGGGCAAATAACTGCAAAAAAAAGAAATGCATATGAATATTTAATTTTGGTGAACAATAATGGTAATTATAAATACAGTATTATATCAATACAAGTAAACCAAACAAACAAAAGCAAAAATGGTTTAATATTCATGAAACTCATTAACTTTTGTTTTAAAGAATTTGTATTAAGTTAACCTAACAAGACTAAAGCTATAATAAATGTGTAAAATAAAAAGCCTTACTAACTCTGGACAAAATGTTTGTCCCGGAAATTCTTTTTTGGCAATGAAATTTAATTATTTATATTATAAGTCAAATATGACTTCAAAATTACCTCAGTGCAGTTATTTTTGGGAAAAATTGTTTAAAATCGTTCTGACAGAAATTGCTAATTAAAATAATTTGCGTGCTCGTTCGACTAAACCCAAAAGTGAATGACGTAAATAATTTAATTAACTAAAATGGCATGCAAAATGCTCAGGACAATGGCCACAAACGACAGCTATTACAGGGGTTCAATGCGAGGGCAGCAGGGCACAGGGATGGGGTCACTTAACAGAAATTTCAAACTGCATTGTTGACCCAATTAGGAAACCGTTTTGGTCATTGCGCTTGCTTTTCGGCCAATTTCGAATAATGCACGCTATCGAGAGCTCCCAGGTCGCGGAAGTCATTGGCTGTCGACCTTTATCTCCCCGCTAAAAATCCGTTTTAATCCCTGGTGTGTTCAATATTTCCAACCTTTTAAATCCTTAGCAAACATTCATTAATGTCCTCGGATTCACAGAATGTTATAACTTCATTTTCACTCTTTTTTTCCATATTTATTTTGTTATTCATACAAACTTTGTGTCAAGTAGAACAAAAGCCAAAAGTTTACCGAATTCAAAACGCAAAAAATTATGTGAGTTTCTACATAATAATAAAAGTTTTATCCGCGCTCAATTTAAGCCGCATTTCGGGCTTACTTTTACCCTCTCGACTGCCGAAAAGTTTAGCTGAATTTTTTGTGCTATTTTCTCCGCTGTGAGCGTACTATTGCGAATAATTTTATTATATAAATATTCTCATGAACCACATATTTATAAAGATTTAGGGTTTTATTATTTGGTTACAATAAAATATTAAATAAGATACTTAGCTAGGAAAACTTTGCTTGTAGAAAAATTTGAAAAAACGAATTAATTTAATAAAAAATTTGAATAGCTAAAGTTAAAGATTGTTTAAATGTTTTTTAATTGTACTTTGCCTTAAACCTTGTTTTGAACCATTATAAGATATTTATGCTCTATTTTCCTTCAATTTTCCCGTATGGTATTTCCACGAACCGCATGGATATCTTAATTGCAGCTCATTCAGCGTTTCACCCACGGCCATAGTTAAAATCGTTCAGACATGAAAAAAGTGCTCTGCAATTTTCCCTCAATTGACTGTTCATTGTTAGTCCTGCGATTCTGTTGTTTTTTTGTTGTCCTTCCTGTTTTATTCTGGATCATTTTGTTTGTACTATTTTTATTTTCTTTGGATATTTTGTTGCGTTTACGGGTATATGTAGAGCAAACATAGTTTTAACAATTTTCGTGAAAATGAAAATGAAATGCCAACAGCCAGCGGCCAGAGGTGTGCCACACGCGTGAACTAACACTCGAAAAATTGTTTTTTGAATTTTGGAAATTTGAAAAAAAAGCTTCAACAAATCAAAAAAAAAAAAACTAGAATAATTTTAATTTTACAAATAAAACATGAATATACTTATCATTTTATACTTCACAAAATGCATATAAATTATACAAAATTACAGCTGTAAGACTCGATTTCACTTAAAGTTTTAAACTTAAACCAATTATCTAGACTTAGAGACATTTCAGTTTTTAAAATCAGTCAAAAATTAAAACCAAAAATGGTTGTTGTTTCAAGTGTAACCACACATCTGCATACAAATATTTGTGGGCTAGTGAGAGTGTGCGTGTATTCCCATGTATACATGCATTTATACAAACACGCAAATTATGCAAACGGCTACCGCAAATAACATAAATTTCACAAACTTGGCGGCCCGCAACGCAGCCGGACCAGGTGAAGAAGGGGTTCAGAAGGGCGGAGAAAAAGAAGTTGGACCCAGGGGGAGGGGATGGGATACGAACCAGTGTTGACATCCATCTCTAAAAAAAAATTTAACAAAATCAAACACTGCAGTCTAAAAATACGTAATACATGAGTGTAAGACTCATAATAAAATTAACCCTAAAAACAAATAAATTTTAGGGAAAATTTTTCTTAAATTAATGGAATTTCTTTCTAAAATCTAGGGTAAAAAACTTTTGAAGAAAGGAAAACTAGAATTTAAAAAAATTTGTCTCGAATGTAGGGCAGCTTACCATACACTTTAGGGCAATTTTTTCTTAAAATTATAAAAATGTATAAACATTAAACATGTTTAAATTTTAGGGTACTTTTTGTTCTGAGTGTATTATTAATTGCTACATACAAGGATATGTCACGTTTAATCATATTTTATTTTTTGTTTATTCTATAGCTTCAAAAGTTTCAAATGTTTTAAACTAATACATACAATTTTGTTTTAAATGTTTAGAAATACGTGTTGACATAACAATAACAACCTGCCGACAAATAAAGTTTGAAAGTTAAAATATATTTTTAAATATAAATATTCAAATTAATTTTGGTATACCAGTGTTTAATAGTGGTATTTGGTACTAATTTTCGCCATTCCTTCAAATTACAAACTGTGTAAAATTTTAGTTTAATAAATTATCGGAGTTCAAAGCCTACAAATACTGATTTATACACAAGTTATTATCTTGACGTTTTTTTATATGAAAATAGCCAAGTTAGCAGCACAGGACATGAAGGTGTTGTATGATAACGCCACATAGAAATGTTAACGCTCTGGCATCTGCTTCTGCTTCTGCTTCAGTGTGTATCTCTGTGCCTGCATTCAGCGGGCGTGTGTATTTGTGTACAAATTCCAGCCAACAAACAACTTTATATACTACTGAAAAGGGAGAATACGCAATATGCAGCGCTTTGGATTTCGTTTAATGCACGAATCTTCAGCGTTCATAATAAAAGCAGATTACGAGCGTTGACAGCACTGTCAATACAGGATCGTGGGGGCGTGGCAGGGGGCAGAAGGTGGAGGGGCTTGGGCTGCCAACGACAACGGCCAATTGCCGTAAATTTGCATGGCACATCAACGAACAAATAAAATTAAGCTTGGCTTTTACGCAACACAATTGAAGAGAAATATACTCTTTTTAAGAAGATTTAAAAAGATAAAAAGATCAACAGCCTTCTTTTAATTATAATATTGTTAATTATTTTAACACTTTGATATTATTCAAAATTTTTTTTGTAAAAGAGATTTAAGAGTTTTATTAAAATTATTTGCTTAAAAACCACTAAAAATAATTTAAATGTATGCTTGTTGATAAGTTAAATAAAATTCCTTGTATTTTAATATAATTGCTCGTCACCATTAATAAAAATATTTTGTAATAATTTAGAAGCTAAATTTTTTTTAAAGAAATGACTTACTCTTAGTTTTTTTATTATTATTAAGAAATATTAATATTAGTGAGAATTTGTATGACCAATAACGCAAGTTTTTTATTTGCCATTTTATTTTAGGCAACATAATTGTGAAATAAGTATTTATAATTTCATCAAATATTTCTATCGTTACCAACTGAATACAATTTTCAGCATGCCCCAAATAACGACCTCTTTTTTTGCCACAAAAGAATCAGCGGGGCTTAAAACTAAAGATCAACAAAACGCTTAAAGTTATGTCAAGTTGCCATTGATTCTCCCGAGACCCGTTCCCACACACACACAGCGACCCATAAGTTAGTGACATTAATGCGCTTAATTAAAGCAGTTCCTGAATGTCAACAACAACAACAACAACAACAGCCACAGCAATTTGCATTGTCAGAATGGAACAAAAAAATGAGAAGAGTTTGTATGCCTCTAGTTTACAGAAGGGAGTCTTTATATAGGCCAAAATGAGATTTGGGCTAGGCATTAAAAATGTATAACTACTACTGCTTGAACGACTTCATGGTAAATTGGAGATTTTGAGTTAGAGTAAATCGAATAAGAATTTTAACCAATTGCGTTTTTAATTAACAAATTATAAAAAATAATTTTCGATATTAATATTTGTTAAAATACTATGCATATAAGCAGGTCCT